GCCGCGGGATGGCCGGGGGGGGCGCCGCTGGGTGTGTGTGTGTGTGGGGGGTGGTGGGGGGGCAGTGGCTTTCGTTTCTCAGCCTTGAGGTCCTAGGTGTTAGTTCTAAGGTGGCCCCTGACCAGCAAAGTCCCTCAATTGTCCTGGTCTGCCCAGCGAGGACCATGGCGCTGCCCTGACCATGTCCAGGGACACCGTGGGAAGCAAAGGATCAGTCTCAGTGCCTATCTGTGAGGTGGAGCAGCCGGCACTGGCGTGCCCAGGTGAAGGGGTCACAGTAGGGTGGGGACACAGCCGGGAGGTGTGGGAGAGCGCTCGACTCCTGGAGCCATGGCCTGGCCATCTCCACCTCTGCCTTCACCAGCTCTGTGGCCCCAGCAAGGCCCCGACCTCTCTGCCTCAGATGCCTCACGTGGAAAACGGGGACGTAACGGGAAGCTCCAGGAGATGACAGCCGGGAAAGGGCGGGTAAACCCCAGGCAAGGTGCTCTCCCTGCGGTCAGGGCTGGGCCCTTTCTCAGGGAGGCCACGTGTCCCTGGGAAAGTGGAGTCAAACGCCTGGGGAGCCAGGCCGCACAGAGCCCGGGCAGTGGTTCGTGGCCATGGGGAGAAGATGCTGGGCAGTGAGAGATCAGTGGGGCTGGCTGGGGCCTCACGGTGTGGCCTGGGCTGCCTCCATGCGTGAGGGACATCACGTGGGAGGGGATCCTAAGGCACTGGGGTTGGCAGGCCGAACAGGTGGTGGGCTCGGGTGGCCCCTGAGGGCCGTGTTAGGAGGGGAGGTGGGCTAGGAACATAGGAATCACTGCAGAGAGGCCTCCGAGCATCAGCTGCAGCAGAGAGGACCCCGGCACTGCCTCTAGAGCCCCCAAGTATGGAGGAAACACAAAATGGAGAACATCCACTTCCTGTTCCCACCACCCCAACCGAGGCTTCTGGGCTGGTGGAGAATCCCGCTCCTCTTTGGAAATTTCCTCTGGGAAGCTCCTCCCTGCCCCTGCCTCCCACCCACCTCTTCTCCTCTCAGTGGGAGCCCCTCTGCCCACACCATGGCTTTTCTTGTGACCAGGGTAAATATTACCTGGCACTGTTAATGTTTAATGCCCCACCTCATCCCTGGCCACCCACGGCAGACACTGCCCGAAGCAGAGGCAGCAGGAGGGTGGCAGACCAGACCAGTCGACCAGGGAAACTGAGGAAATGACAGGGCTGTCAGTGGACGAGGGTGAGTGTGTGGGTGCGAGGCAGGGGTGGCTCTGCTTAGGCCTTCTCTGAAAAGGGTGAACTGTACCCCAATCTGCCCTCTCCCCACTCTGCCACCCCTGCCTTCCAGAGGACCAAGGCCCCTCCACGGGGCGGCCTCTTCTCTAAGGAACTTTTCATTTTAATAGAAGATGTTGCCTGAGCCCCCCCAAAATCACGCAAATGGCAGACCTTCGGGCTCAGGTAGATGTGGTGGGGGTGAGCTGCTGTCCTTGACTCCAGGCACCCCTCTGCCCTCATCCGGCAAAGACCATCTGAACTCAGAGCAGGAGGTGGACCGAGGTCTGACTGGGGAAGGAGCAGGCCCCTCTGGTGGGCCTCCCCAGGCTGGATTTGGGCTGAGAGCCCCCCACATTGAAGACACACTTCTATGATGGGGAATGACTCAGGCCTGATGACTGTTGGTGGGGAGGAGGGAATGGTGCCAAATCTAGAACGACAAGGGCGAGCGTGGGGTCCCCGTGTGGTGAGGGGAATCCCAGTGAGGGCCCAGCTGTGCTCCAACAGTAGCACCCTGTGAACTAAGTCTGGGAAGACCACCTCAAAGCCTTTTTCATGGGGACAAGGGTGTGGCCCCCATGGCTTCCCAGTGGGCTCCTCCAGTCCTGGCCTTCCTGAGTGACCGTACCGCAGGCCCTCCAGAACCGGCACCGACCCCTCCTGGCCTGTGAGCTCCTGGCCTAGGGAGCAGTCTCGGGATGGCCGTGCTCACCAGGCCTGAGGCCCCACTGCCTGGGCACAAGACAGCACTGCTGGGGG